CCCCAAAACCCCAAAACCCCAAAACCCCAGGAAGTTTGAGCAGGGTTGAAAATTGGGTAAATCTTAAGAAGTATTATAATTGAGCTCCATAAAATCCACTGTTCTAATTGATTCACTCTCTTGCTATACGATTAATTTAAAAAATTACGCTTGAGTGCATTTCAAAATTATTGGGAATCAAAGGCTCTGATTGACCATGATATTCATCTACTCCAACGCTAACTCTTGGAGTTGTAGATAGACTCAACTTTATCAAATAGATCTGAACCATCGTTGGAATCAAGCTCAGTATGCAATAATAGCAAAAACTGTAAATAACATACAAAGTTCCATTATTTTTCATGGAATCATTTGTCCAATTTTCTAAAAAGTCATTGATACTTCGAGCCAAAATCATGCTACTTCTAGTTTCAAACACAACAACAATGACTGTGACGCTAATTGCTAATCTCCATTTGAGTTTATTACTCAGTGTTGTTTCGTGATGGCTTTCGTCTACACTCTTGAGAACTTTATAGAAGTAAAATAAGGTTATCATGAAGAAGAAGCCTGTTACCATATGAATTCCAGTCACGACTATAATCCCTGATGTGAACAGCGTAGTCTTGTCTGGGTCTTTTCTTCATTCCTTTATACCATCGATAAGAAATATAATGGCTCATATCAACAGAATAGCAAGCATGGTGGTCCATAACATAATGTTATAAACACGCTTCTTGCTCCTTCCTCTATTTTTAAATCTGAGTATTTGAGAAATGTATGTGAATGAAAGCACTATAATCGTGTTCATGTACATAAAATAGTTCTTCCAATTAGTCCAGTAATACACACAACTGTGCTTGATTTCATCTCAGCCATCCGAATATCTGATAACCACTTGGGAAACTCCATAGGTGATGTCTCAGATAATGGATAAAGTCAGAAAGACCATAAACATACTTGTGAGTTTGTGTTTGAAGCCATAAAATTTGAAAAACCTGACTGAATACCAAAGCTGGAACAAGAGAGTAAGAACCCCAAGTCAGGAGTAGACCATCATCATGATGACATAGCCTTTGCAATTATTGATGGAGACTTTGGTTTCCATTTTACCTGATTTTGAAGATATTACAATAAATTTTATTGCTCTTGGGGTTTTGGGGTTTTGGGGTTTTGGGGTTTTGGGG